GCAGCTCTCCTGGGGTTCTTGTGCTAACCTCAAATGGCAGCAGAAGCTTGTGTGTAAGTAACTGAATCCTGCCTCCAGCACTGAAACAAAAACTTATTTCTTCCCCTGCTTTGCCCCAAGACTGCGTTTGTCTCCTTTTAGCAGCTGGGAGCAACATTTAAAAGGTACTGAAATATGCGAGACAGACACATTGGGACTGAAGCAATGCATCGGCAGCCACCAATTTAGAGACTCAATGAACCTCTTTCTGCTCAGTGAGCTTGGGTTCATCAGAGCCTTGCTTCCCTTATATACCTCTTAGTTTGAACACCTGTGCAACTTGCATGCAGGCAAGGGCTGCAAGTGTCCATGGACAGCAGCACTAATGGAACAAAGGAGCTGCCTGTGTTTAACGGCTGATGCTACTGCTGTGTCAGCAGAGCCAAACTTCTGTTAAATAGCCCTAGTTTAAACTAGCAAACATCATCTGTTTGGGTTTAATTCCATATTCCTTAAACTACAGTACACCGCTAAAGCCTTTTTATCTGTCTGAAAGGGGTAGTTCAATAGGTACTCCCACTGAGCACAGTTAGCTCAACTGGCAGCTGGCTCCTCAGGCTCAAACTGCTACAGGTCCTTTGCTGACCAGAACCTGCTGGTGTGGGTGCCAAAGCATGTCCACTTTCCTTTTGCAATACTGGAATGCTCTGCTTCCTAGGATGAGGTGGAATATGTGCAGGAAGGAGAGGCAGTGGAGGTGTTTGAGCCTGTAGAGGAACAAGAAAGGCTGAGTTGTCCATGTGTGGATTGCCAACCTTTAACAGTAGAAAAATGCAAATCTGGCCTGGAAGAGGGAGAAATGCCAGGTTCACATGGTTTCCTGTATTACGAAAGAGACAGCCTTTCTCATCCTGACTTGAGTCTCATGTCTCAACAGCATTCCGGATGAATTCTGGGTAATCCTCTAGTAGCAGTGTTAATTTCAACAATTCCCTTGAAAAAACAATGCTGAACCATATACCTATAAAAGTAATAGATACTAAAGCCTTGCCTTTCAGCTTTAAAATTAGCAGATTCCATTTTAAATTTTTTTTTTTTAAGATGCAAGCTTAAGCTCTAAAGAAATACACAAAGTGTGCAGGTCTTTGCAGAATGATTGCAGAGGATGCTTGCTACAGATTACTTGTGTTGCTTGTGCGTGTTTCTCTTCCATGTTTCTGCCACAAAGGTAAGGAGGTAGCCAGAGCTCTGCTGGCAGATATCCTCCTGCAGAAACAGATATCGTTGCTAAAATAGCCCTGGGACCGAGATGTCTTGCTCTGCATGTTCTGGTTTGTGTTACTGCACTTACTATGGGACCATTCTGCAGAAATGGAGTGTTTCTTCACAGGTGTCTTATTCCCCTGGTTGCTCAGCCTGGGTTGCACGCAGGTTTGGCAGGCCCACGCAGTTGCAGAGCTGGAAGGAACATGTAGAGTGGCTGTTGTTGGAATTTTGGCAGGTGGATTTTGGAATTTTGGCTAGTAGATCAGGAGAGGTTTCTAGAAGCTGTGGAATGAAGTAGGACTCTGCCTTTCTACAGTGCTGGAGATCTCCTGTTACCTGAGTCACCTCAGCATGTGGAACTCAGCGTGCAGCACTACTACCAAAACGGTGGAGCTGCAGCTACTCCCTCCAGACTAGTACTTTCTAAAGGGTTTGTATCGGTTCCTCTGAGGAACCAAGTGCATGTGAGCAAAAGCTCTTTCTGCTGTGATACATTACATCTCCGTTAGGACTGCTGCTTCTTGTGACTCTGCTGTGTAACAGTGATTTCTGCACACATGATTCACCTTGCCAGCAAATCTTTTTAGGCTCAAGCTGTAAGCTCGTATGGAGCTCTTTATATGTATTATAGCTTGTGGGAATACACTGCACTTTCACAGTATCTCTGCAGTGTCAACACTCCAGTATGTCAATGCTGCAGATGAAGCTCCAGTGGCACACAGAATCCCACCTAAACAGAAATAAACAGAAATTAGATCTAGTACAGGCTATGTAGACCAGGGTTGATGCTCTAGTTCACTGGGTTCCAGCCTTTGCTGTCCCATAGGCAAAAATACCAAGCAGAGTGATGCAAGCAACCTCATTCCTTGATCTCTGCGTCAACGTGGCCTGCAGCGATGTTTTACAAGCTACATATTTCTTCTGAGTGGCCCATGAGCAAGGGCTCACAGCCCCAGTTGTCTCTCCAGTGCAGATAAAAGGCATGATCTTTGCTTTAATAGGGTGTTCCCTACAGGCCTGTGTAAACATTATATTTGGTTATCTAACTACACTGCATGACTCAAATGCTGAGCTAACAGGGTTTTGGAAATTTTCAGTAAAGCATTGCCACACATCTCTTGCTTCACCCATCAGCAGTGGCCAGCAGCATCTTGACTGATACTGAGCGGTCAAGACGTATGAAGGACCAAAAATCATGGCGCTACTCTTAGACAAAAAAAAAAAAGTTTTCCCTTTCCTGTGATGCCATGTTATTTTCATGCTGTCCAAAGTTTTGAAGAGCACCTTCAGGTCATATCTGTGAATCTCTTTTATAACCAGGCTAGAATTAATTTCTCACATTTCATGAAAGTCCATTTGCTCGCAGACAGGGTGTGTCTCTAGCAGCTGGGCTGTGTCTGAATCACTAAATCTTTTACAAATTATAACATCGGGACTGCTGCATCTTGGTGAGCCCCAAGATCCACCCAAGTCATTGCTAGATACTAGGGAAAG